CACATTGCCGGCCAATGCACCTTTCCATCCCGCTGCCTTTTCTACCTCAGCACGATGCACCGAGCGAGGAACTGCAGGCATGGTCGCTCGCCCCAACGCCTCTCCTCGAACCGGGTGCGAGAGCCTCCAAGGCACGGTCAGCGTCGTGCTGCTCGAGGCAACCTTGGTTTCGGCGGTGGCGCCAGCCAGGACTCCGATGAGGGTGGCGATTCTCAGCTAGGGCCCGGGTGGGCCCGACGTTCCAGCAGGCGCCGCGTGTCATTGTGGGCGAGATTCCCTGCCCGTTGCTTCCAGTCGTCGTTCCACGGTCATTTAGGTCCCGAATGCTAAGGTGCAGGGATCGTCAGCTGCTGACGTCAGGTCTAGCTACTTCTTCCAGCAACCAGTTGACGGAGGGATTCCATGATTTTGAAATTTAAATCCCAAAGCCTACGGAGATCGCACCGTTCAGGGTGGATCCAATGCTCTGCTTCGTCGACTAGCTGGGTGCCTTGTGTGACAAGGGCGCGTCGCCAAACCCGGTGTCCTGCTCGGATCTTTCCAGCGCGGAACCAGAAATGATGTGTGGCCATCAGTAGACGTCGTGGGCAGCCCATCTGGTGGCTGAAGACCATGACATCACGGCATGGCCCGCCATTCCGCCCACCGTTTTTGGGGCTCCTATGGCCGCCGCTAGAGATACGTCGTGCCCCTAGTTCGACGACCTTCCGGTGAGCCCCACCATGGTCCAGTTGGGCACGGAACCTGGCCATGGGCTGACACAGAGTAGGGCGCTGCAGTGGGAGCCGGACCACATTACAGGCTACGCTTTAGACAACCAAGCCCATGGAGTGCAAGATTCTTAGCCTGTTGGGGACAGCCTAGCGCCGGCGACCCATGCCGACACCCAAGTCCGCATGTCGCCCGCTATTGTCGGTTCGTCTACAGTGCAGCCCGTCACCATCCAGGAGTTCATTACCGGACTCAGGCTGCCGCTTGAACAGCCTCTGATCCAGTCGCCGCCGCGCCCCCGTGTCTCACGTGTTCCGGTGGAGAACCTCGTCCCGCGTCGCAGTGACAGGCTTGCGGCGAAGTCTGTCTACCGCGACCCCAACCCGGAGAAGTAGGCCAAGCGGGTCCTGCTGAACAAGTGGCAGCCCTCAACCAGTGCTCCAAGACCGTCACCAGTGACACCCGACGCCTCCATCGCCACTCGTTTCCACGACACATTCGAGGACCCGCTGTCTTCATCCAAGCGCGCCACAATGCGGGAATTCTTCCCCATGCATGGTGCTCGCATGAGGCGATTGGCAACGCAGACGTCTTGAGCACGGGTTCCTTTAGCGCCGCTAGCTCTTAGATCGCATCTTTAGTTTCTTAGTTAGTTACAACAATGTGGGCTCCACCGCCCAGCGGTGTCTTGTGTTCGTGTTCAACCCCTTCGCTCATGGCACCTCGCCGTGTTGTGATGTTAACTTCTTCTTTGCACGTTCTCAAAAAAAAAGCAAGGGGCGGACATGGACATTTAGTAGTTTTTCTTAACCTGACTTAAAGTTCCAGAAAGTCTTAGAATTTGGTACATCCAGGGTTCCATTGATAAGCAGCTGAAATGGAGGCCAAACGCGAGGCGGCCAGATCGAGCTCTCTGCAGGCGTGGCGGTGAATGACAAGAGTCACAAATCACAAGAGGAATTTTTTTATTTCCTTTTCAATTATTGGCACAAGAAAGACGGATTCGTGGGATTATTTTTATATCATCAAAAAGGTAAAATGAGAATGAGATTTCCCCTTTTATATAAAACGACGACACCGAAAGATGCAGACCAGCAAGTTTCTGGACCATCTTTACGTTATTCCAGTGAAACCATGGCGTCGTAGTAGGATCGTGTTAAGCTTAGCAACGTCCTTTGCCCGATCCGTCACTTGCTATCTACTCCTACATAGAAAGTATATATACCAAACAACAAAGACGTTTGCTTCCTTCTTTATTCTCCTTCGAGTAGGATCGCAATTCGCAAGAATAGAAGAGGAAAACGCTACCGCCTCTTTTTCCCTCGTCATAACTGCCGCTGAAAAATTTAGTTTCATGGCATCGCTTCAATTGCCACTATCATCATCATCTGTCTTTTCTTAGGGAACAGTTTCATTGCAACATAGGGTTCTATACTCTCATGAAAACATACTCTACAGCACCAACAAAAAAAGGTTAGTTTTGGAACTGCTGATTGTGAACCCACAAGGCCACAACGTAGGTTTCATTTCTTTTCCTCAAAAAAAAAAGGTTTCATTTCTTTTGACTTTTTAGGTCAACAACACGGTATAGTTAACTTGAGGAACCTCCATCAAGAAAATGCCACCAACACTTTTTCGCCGTTAGCTTTCCGTGTCAGCCACCCAAATGGAGAGAAAAGAAACTTTGGCGTGCTTTTTCTGAGAAAAGAAAATTTGGTAGGGCTCCGCATATATATCTATATTATATATATGCAGTGAAAGAAAGACCGGTGGTTGCTTCGAAAGAAATCTGTGCTGTTGAACTTACTTGCATCTGGCTGTACTCATGCCGTCTCTCTCACTCACTGTTGCTCAGCGCTTTTGCTCCGCCCATTGCTGCCCTTCGAAGAACTGGCCGAGAAGTTGGTCCACCGCTTCCGGGCTGTACCGAACGTACTTCTGCGGGTTCTTGTTGTTCTCCACAAGATTGCTGCAAAGTCACAAGGATACTACAGTCACATCTTACTAGCGCTGCTAGCTGCAGGATGTAGCAAATTACTGGCAATAGAAGGCATTCCATGTTCTAGTAAAAGAACAGGAAAACTACTGTCTTAGCAGCCGACTAATGAAATTGTTTGATGATGTACCCAAAGCGTTTGATAAAAGATCGATAGGCTGGCAACAGGACTTCGGCTACAGCAAGCCTCAAGGATTCTCGCAGCTCTTGATCAGGTACGATCCATTGCGATTGCTTCGCATGAAGCTCTTCGAATTGCGTATTGAAAGACTTAAACCTGACAAGGCAAAAGACATTGGAGGGTTATTGATTTCTGTTGTTGCGTAAGACAGTTAAAAACGTTTTGCCTCCAAGCACTCGCCGTTCTTTGATCGTGGCTCTTGAAACACCACTGCTGGTCAGGTCACCGCTGCTGCCCGCGCCTTGAACAGAAAGTGTCTGAAGAATCTAAAATAACAGAAGCAGAGCAGCCACAATCAAGTGCAATTCTATATGTAACTGTGTACAATAATGCAATAATACATTAATACATAACAAACATGCTAACTGATGTATCCAAAACTCCAATGTACATTAAAGAATGCCTTGCCAGGTAGAGGAAAACTATAAAAACGCCTACAAACATTAAGTCCACGCCAGCTCAGCATTGCCACACATTTTGCTTTACTAAATATAAAATGGCATGTGTGTGCATAAAGTTACTTAATAGTGGATGTACAAGAGGGACTTTCGGACATTACAATTTCTGATGAATTGAAGGGTCAGACCATACTAAATAGAGATCTACTTTGTAAGCTCAGCCTAACTTCACAAAAAATTCTAACTGCAGCAAATGTATCATGTATAAGGAGCGATATTGTACCCTCGTTATGATTTATGATAGATTGAACAGGTATACATCCATGCTGTATTCACAGAGTGATAGCCACTAAAGAATATTGATTAAACAGCAGTCTGATCAAGACAAAAAAGATACATTCCCTAAAGAGGGCCAAAAGGGGATTGCACATCTAACATCATGCAGCCAAACAAAAAAGCAATATGTCATGCACGATCCTTGAAGATTTTGCCGATCCACTAACCTTTGCCCAAGCAACGCGTTTATACTGATTGGCATTTTGCTGAACAATCCTGCGATGTCTCTGAATCCAGTCATCACCAAGTATATCTTTTGCTTCTGATCTGAGGCAACACAAGAGATCATTAAATGAACAGGCTATCATAACATAATACCAAACAGGTCTTGTAATAAACACAGACATACCTGCGAACAGATCTAACCATATAGTGGATATTGTTCATAAGAAATAAGTATGTCAATGCAGGATCCTTATACTGTTTAGATTTTCCATCTAGGTTATTCTGTAGGGCCTGCATTATCCTTGTGGTAACAGCAGCAAGCTGAGATTCTGCCTCAGTGCCACTATCAAATTCCTGAAATAATAGCTTCAATGTTGACTGGTAACTGTTCAAATCAGAGTAACATTTGTTATGCATGAAATTTCAGAAACAACAACAGGAAAAGAATAAACAAATGCGACATTGCTTCATGAGTAAATGAAAAAGACAACTAATTCATAACCAGATAAATTCTAGAATCTAGAAAGTGCCCAAGTTTGTTAAGAAAAGCAAGATCAAAAGATGTTATAAATAGCTTCGTATAGGTATTACAGCCTATAGGATGAACTTCCCTGATTCAAATTTGTTCAAAATCTTATTCAGTATTGTGGTACAATTTTGTTTCCTAAAAGAACCAGCCTGTTAATATTAGCACTTGGAAATCCTTTCTACTTCATCAAAAACTATGGTCTTGAGAAGATCAGAAGCATAAAGCCCCATAAGCCACAGTTAAAATAGTGTTATTAACAGTAGGTTAGTCAAACTTATGTGATCAACAATTTTACATGTCCATAGATTCACAACCAATATGAGAAAGGGAATACTTACTCGAATAGGAATTTAACATAATTAATCACATAGCTAGTCAAAGGATGGACTGTTCCGTCATGAACAATAGTTTTTGAAGCATCTTTTTCAACTGCCTCCTCAAAATCTGAAAATGTTTCCTGAGCAGTCTGTGCCAATCGCTTTGTTAAGCTTGATGCAGCTTCACGCATCTCAGTGCAAGGTTTGCCTTCAAATATTTCCTCAATCTGATAAAAACAAGGGATCAAGCAAAGGTAGTATTGGCATCTTTGTAATCATCATCAATATCAAATAGTTTAGAATCACAGCAACATAGAAAAGTATGTAAAATTTGGGTAGTGGCCTCTATGAGGTACTTCCAGAATACCTCTGGTTGAAGTTCACGCATTACTTCATACATGTCGAGCAACACAAACAGCTTTTCAGGGGACCTTTTGCTTTTAGCAACAGCATCTCCAAAGCTGAAAAGAGTTATAACACTATTTGCTGTCAGTTCAGCAAAACAATGGCCCTTGTTAAAGTTGACACCATCAAAAATCTGATCACAGATTTTTCTTTCCCCTGCTAGTAATAATTTGACCTGTTTGAAAAGCATAACATTGTTAACTTGATGCTGAAATGGACATACATAACATGAGTACATTTTAAGAAGGATCCTCACCGCAATTCGCATAAAGTGTATCCAGTTTCCAATTTTAGCCTCCAAAGCCTCCCATTGCATTTTTTGCACATCATCTTTGGTAAGCTTTTCCACTCCTAACTTCCGAAGGCTCACTTCTAGTGCTGAAGCACGGGAATCTCTGAAGGAAAAGGGGGGAAATAGATTGAATTATTAAAAAGAATCAAGTGTTAAAATCCCTATTCAAGGACAGAAAGTACCATCGAGAAGAAACGAGCTCAGAATAAATGTAAAACAATAATAAAGACAACCAAAGCCTACCTGTAGATTTTGTAGCAAGTTTGCTGATTTCCAGCCTGAACCAACTGTTGAGCTATGTCATTCATGAGAGGCAATATTCTGGGAGGAATTAGTGTTGGGGTCCTGTATACGGCAGTCTCCAAGCCTTTGGATGGATGATCAGAACGGCCGCCTCCATCGGCCTCGTGATCACCTTTTGTTGGCCGCAGAGACTTGGGTAGACAGTCAAACAGGCGATCTGGCTCGATAGGTTTGCTGAAAAGAAAAGAAAACAACAATCAACACAACTTTTTTTAGGTAAGAACAACTTCAGGCCTCTGCTTCACTAGAAGAACAGTGATAAGTTAACTGTTCTTTTGCCATTATATGGAGGGAAATAGATGATGGAGACCTTCATGAGTGGGCCTCTGCATCATTAGATGCACCAGCCATAAGTTAACGGCCTTACCTGTATGTACCCATCAGCTGCTTAAATTCCTCTTCAATCTTCAGAGTAGACTTAGCTAACAGATTGTTGACATGATTCAGAACTCCTTCACTGCTCTTGAAGTTCTTATTCGAGGAAAAGAAGCGAACGATGCCTTTCAGCACATCCACTGCCTCCAGGTAGCTCTCCAAATCCTCATGGGGGCCCCTCAATATGGTTGCCTCAGCCTAAAGCACGAAAGAAAAAAATCACAAAAACTAAGGGAAGATGCGAGAATAGCAACATTTGAACTCGAAGCCTGACCAGAAGCCAACAACATTAACTTGCAGGATTACTATACTTTCAATGCAAGGAGTTCAGTTAGTCATCAATTTTACAGTTCAAGATGATTTTTTACAAAAACTGCATCCCATTCAAAAGAAACATTATAATTATGGTAACTCATTATGGTAACTCAATCTTTAATCTCATAAATGGTAAAATTATCACTGACCAGATTACCCTAAATAACATAACCTTAAATAAACAGGAGTAATATCCTTCCATTCGAGAACAGTCATTCTGTATCAATGATTCCTGCATTGAGCTTAATTAACCGCACATACAGCTTAATCGTGTTAACCAAGACTAATTAGCTCCGTCCCTTATTACAGCACAAAGCACCTGCCCGTTTTCACATTCAATTGCCCTCAGATCCACACAATGGCCACAAGAAAACATATGCAATTCACCCCGATTTCAGCTAAAGGACTAGCGTTCTGACTTCTGAGAGAGGATGAACGAACGCACCCGGCGGGCGAGGTCGAACTGGGAGAGGATGCCGTCGGCGGCCTTGATGGTCCGGTCGATGTTCTCGTGCGCCGTCCGGATCGCGTGCGTCCTCACCTGCAATCCCACCACCAAGCACAGAGGGACACCGCCATCCCCGCCTCAAATTTCATTCCATCCAACGAAACGAAGGCGCGACGCGTTCGAAATGGCGGGGGAGGAGACGGCGGCGAACCTGGGTGGGGCGCATGGCGGCCTCGAGCGCGGAGAGGCGGTGGTCGAAGGAGCCGAGGATGGCGACCATGCCGTCCGTGTTCCCCTGGCTCCGCCGCAGCGAGTCCCGCAGCATGGTCGCCCGCCGCGACAGCGCGTCCATCGCCTGCGGCAGCGCCGCCACCGCCATCGCGGACGTCGGATCAAGCGCGGGCATTTCTCTCGGGAGAAGGCCGGGGAGATCTCGGCAGTCGGCACCGAGAGGAGAGAATGCGCCGAGGGTCAGGGCGGCGGCGCCTCGATGGTCTATGGGAAGCGACGATTCGGTGGCGGTGGCGGTGGCGGTGGCGGTGGCGGTGGCGTGGTGGTCGGCGACGCGTGGTGTGTCGCCGTGGACGAAGGAGGGAGGGCAACAAGGCGGAAGAGGCGAACACCCCCGCGAGATTCGTGCGTGCGTGCTGACCGTTGATCCCGCGGACGGCTCGGATCGCAGGTGGCTCGTCGGCGCGGTGCCTCGTGCACGGGAAGGGAAGGGAGCAGCCGGTGGGCAGGGCGGTGGTGGTGGTCTCGTGATGCGTTCCGTGCGGGAGCGGGGAAGCGCGGGACGGAGGCAACGGAACGGAACGGACGGCTAGGATGGGCTCGGTCGGTGCGTGGAGCGGCGGGTGTAGGAGGCGGTGGGGTCCAGCTGTTGGTGTCGGCCGCTCGAACGTGGGGAGAGGCTGGGAGCTGATCGAGTTGTGTGGACCCGGTCGGATATTGGGTTGTTTTTCGAGACCGGAAAAATGAGTCGTTTTTTTTTTAAATTTTCTTTTGTTCCTATTTAACATTTACTTTAACTTTCATCCTTAATTTAACACTACCGTCAAATTCATTAGCTAACGGTGTTAATTAGTCATTTAGTAAAAGACGTTTTTGCCTCCTAGACAAAAAAAAAAAGCGAAGCAAATTTGAGAGGAAAAAAAGCTACGCCTTTTTTTGCAAATGGTGGCGCATACATCGAGGCGGCGCAGTTTTTTTTCCTCTCAAATTTGCTTCGCCGCTTTTTTTTTCTACGGACAAAAACATCTTTTTATGACCAATTAACACCGTTAGCTAACGGATTTGATGGTAGTGTCAAATTAGGGATGAAAGTTGAAGTGAGTGTCAAATAGGAACGAAGAAAATTTCGAGACCAAGAAAGGAACGACTCATTTTCCGGTGTCAAATAATGAATTCTCTCTTGTTTTTTATGGAACTGCACCCTCTAAGATTTGAACATTGTCATGTTCGTTTCTCTTATAAGCCATACTATTTCAACGAATGAACAATATTTTTACAATAAATTAGTGAATAATACTTTCACCATGGTGGTTTTTTAATGAAGCGAGAGGGCCCAGGGCTAGGGGAATTGTCGCTCTCCAAACGTACAGTGCAGTGATCGTGTGGGAATGGATTGTGTGCCGTAGAGCCATTTGCTCCACAAATGTGCACGGTTAGTTATGGTTGTGACTTGTGAGACATTTGCTTAGCTACCATTCTATAAACTTCATGACCGAGAAATTTGTGTGTTTTTCGGCTGTTATTTGGTTGGTTTTTAAATGATAAGTCCTCACTGATCTTGGTTTGTTGTGAGAGAAAAATCTTTGTTGGTGGTGATAAGCCCAATTAAAATCAACAAGCGAGACGAGGCTCTTTGAACGAAATCCTTATAGTGAGTGAGGAATAAAAAAAATCATAGAAGCGATATTATATGTTTTGGTTTTCTACGTACATTGTTTTTACTATATATTTAAGTATAATGTATATCTAAGTGCATGACAAAAATTATGTATCTAAAAAAATAAAAGTGTATTTATAATTTGGAATGGATGGAGTATGTAATATAAGGAGATGTTCATGACGAATTATTTTGTGACCGGAAGTATAATCACATGAGGATTCAATTTAATTACACCGTCATAGATTACCTATGGGTGATGTCTTGGATTGAGGTGGATATATGTGCATGCAAACAGGCCCTATGTATTGTGTTTGTGTAGATTTGGTGATGCTTCTCTTATGTAGAAAATACCATTTTTCATGTTTTATGACAAAACTCTCTCATCTTTTATGATTATTACATATAATTAATTACGGATACTCAAATATCTCATTGTGCACATCGAATGCCACTAGTTGTTTTCCCCCTACCAAGAAATATCGTGTTGTGTGTAATCAATAGCATGGCACGAAAAGCAATCATGTGTATCCTTTCCTTCCTTGGCTAGCTCCCCATGGTTATCCTCCCCCTGATTCACATTATCGTCATTATCATTGCAAATGTTCATCTTTTTTCGTTTTCCGTGATGGAAGAAGTGACAACTCACATAGACCAAAAGATGATGTGGTGGTACGGAAGGGGCGGATGATGAAATCCGGGTTCTTCCTGTAGTTAGGTCCGAACGGGCGATTTTTTTTTTCATGTTCAAGCGTTTTTTTATGAAATTGAATTGATTCTTCTACTTGCGCAATTTCTGTGGAATTCCTATGTTCCAAACAAGCCCTTAACTACCATCATTATCCTCCTCAGCATCATGTCGACTAGTTAGTTTGCCATATAGACCTTCTATTCCATAAATAGTGTTATTCTCACTCCTTTAGAAGTCATCTATTTTTTAACTTTATTCAAATATATAAGAAAACATTAATATTTATGGTTGCATAATTAGTATTATTAGATGAATCACTAAATATATTTTTATAATAAACTTATTTAGAGATACAAATATTATCAATATTTTCTACAAATTTAATCAAACTTAACAAAATTTAACCAACATAAATCTCATAGCGACACTTTTTTTGGGACAGAGGAAGTATATATCCATCCTTTTAGGCCTTATTTGGGAGGGCTCCTCTCCAATGGCTCCTTTGGAGAAGGTGGAGCCGTTTTTGGGAGCCACAATTTGTGGCTCCGCCAAAACAGCTTTGGCTCCTCCTTTTTCTACTGAAAAACGATTTCAAACAGCTCCTCCTGCTAAAACGTTTGGTACCAGTTTCCAAGCAGATAGAAAAAGGCAACTCATCAATCAGGAGAATAAAAAGAGTCCATAACGGTATTGTTGGAAGCGGATGTATCGTTATCCTCCTCGCCATTGCATACATCAGTCATTTCACCCTATAATCCCATCATTGTAGTTCTGGGAGCGAGGAGAGGCAGAAATGCAAGTCCTCACCAAACCGTTCGCAAAAGGGTTTTTTCTTTTTTCTTTTTTATCAACGTTCGCAAAGGATTTGGCGAAGAATGCAGCTTTTGCCCGGGCGTTCGGCGCCTAACTCCTCGACTCGAGGCCGGCGAGGCGCGCCATGAGATAAACGGGGGCTAACCGGTTGTGGCATGCCTAAACTCGCAGCGTGGGAGAGTTTATATACGGCTGCTAACCAAAAACGCCCCCTTTAACTAGCTTTTTGCAGTTTGGCTGGCGCCTTTCCATCTCCGATCCGTGTCGTTTCCAAGGGCAGCCGCCTGGACGGACGAGGCTCCCCTTTCCCTCTTGGTTTTGGGTTCCGTACCAAGCAAGGCAAAAGCATAGCTGGCTGATGGCAGAGACAGTGACAAAGACAGGAAAAAAAATTTAGAAGGGGCTAAAGTAAAGAATAGAGACTTTTTTATCTTCTGTTAACTTTAGCCTCTTCTACATAATACATATATGCATAAAATTTTAAGGGAGGGCTTAGAGGGCTCCACGTGCCCAGGATCGGTAGGGGGGCTAGAGCCCCCAGCCCCACCGCTGGCTCGGTCGCTGGGCAGAGTCGTGTCACGTACGGACATATGGTCACAGCAGCTGCGTGCACGGGCAGACCGGAGACATCAGGGATGCCTTGTTTGTTTGGCTGATAAGTTACGATTGAAATTGCTATTAACTGATTTGTTGTGAGAGAAAAATACTATTTGTTGATTAAAAAAGTACGATCTATAAACCAAGCGAACATGACGAAGGATATCAAACGGAACCGTGGAGGAAAAAGAGCGAAATTACAGTACTATATGCGCCCCTGGTCTTAACGCGTGTGTGTGTCGTGTGTCCATGCATGCATGTGTTTGGGATGGGCATCTTGATGGAGGCTATCGATCAGATCACGGGACACTCGTTAGCAATTTGGTGGAATAGTTTTTTTTTTAAAAAAAAGACACTCAAAAGAGTGCTTCACTTTTGACATGTGTTTATTTGTCCATCGTTTGTATCGGAATAGTTTTAGTTTACTGTACACTACGTCTCGCGAGTTTTTAGTTTGTTTATTTATTATTAGGTTTTGCGTAAATACAACGTACCGTAAAATTACTGTGAAAAGGGATAAGTAAATTTGGAAACTAATCACACACCTACGGCTCTGTTTTCTTGCGAGCTCGTCCGAGCACACTATATAGATTAGCAGCGACAGAGACGGCTCCTGCATCGCGGTATATATATCGAGAGAAGATATAGCACATAAGTTAAAAAAAAAAGAGAAGATATAGTACATACGTACTGTATGTGGGTTGGGCGAACAACAGCCACACACAGTTTTTTAATAAAAATATTATACGTAGTGTTTGTTCCATTCTTCTAGCGTGATTAGTTGGCGGCGATAATATAATCAAGCTCCTTAACCTAGCTGTGTCTACGTCACGAGACGAGGGATGATGCGTCAGGGATATCCTGCATGTTCATCCAAGGATTTCATTTGACATTGCACTGTCCTTCGTTCCTTCTACTCAACTCTCTGAGCTCTCTTGGTAGACATCAAACTCCTGCGGTGGAATAAGCTGGACCCCATTAGTAGCTCACGTGGTCAGTGCGGGGCCCACTAGAAGCACAAGTTGTAGATCAGCTGAGATATGTTTGATCCACTACCGCGATCAACACCGTGTTTAGTTGGCTGAATTTTGAAATTTAGGCTAATATAGCATTTTCGTTTTTATTTAACAATTAGTGTTCAATCATGGACTAATAGGCTCAAAACGTCCGTCTCGCAATTTCCAACCAAACTGTGCAATTAGTTTTTTTTCGTCTATATTTAATATTCCATGCACGTATCGAAAGATTCGATGTGATGGGTACTGTAGCACTTTTTGGGAAAAAATTTTGGAACTAAACAACCTCCCAAGCTATTTTTGAACATAGTACGTGATGAAACAAATGCCACGTGCAACACTATCTGATTAACATATTTGGATTGTTGATATAT